CCAGATTTTGACAAAAATGTAGATATTGGATTCAAGTTTGTAATGAGTTAGTGTGTTGAATTGAATGGTCGATTATTGATACGACTATATCATTTTAATTTCAAGATTTTGAATAAATGTAATTATTGATGTAGTCGATATATAATTGAGAACTTTTATATCATAGATGTATATCGGCAAGAAAACAATTTTCAAAAACAAAATTCAAATTGAAGAAGTGTTAATTTTATATAATCCATATGCATATATATACCATAATTACGGCGCATTAATGTTTCAGTTAATGCATATGTCCATAAACTAGGTGTATTGATTACTGTAGCTAATTGACTGTTTGTTTATCCACAAGAGTCAAAACTATAAAATTAAACAAACTTGAGTTCATTGAATCGGTAATACTCAGTAATATATCAATCTATATATGTATTACTATTAATTAAAATATGAATCTGGTTTTTTAAAAAGAAGAAGAAAAATACTTCCTCCGTTACAAAATGTAAATTGTTTTGGTTAAAAGTGTGAATATTAAAAAACTATTTTTTTTCTTCTAAAAAATATCATTTTATATATTTCCTCTATTTTTGAAAGAATGTCATTTTAGAATTAATTTTTTGTTTTTAAAATATGTCATTCTACATTTTTAATATGACTTTTCACATACATTTTCCATTTTACCCTATATTAAAAGCTGAATCTATTTGAATTTAAATTATGACCATTTAGTTAATGATGTATTAAATATGGGCATTCGCGTGAAAATAGTTAAAATGACACTCTTTCAAAAACAGAGGGAGTATATAATAAAAATAATTTAACCAATAAAAAAAATGACTGCAAAATAGTCAATAAAATTAAAAAATATCTAATATTATCAAAACAACTTATATTTTGAAACATAAAAAAGATTTCCAAAACAGCTTATATTTTAAAACGGAGGAGGAAATATATAGGTTAAAAATAATAAAGATGAAATCCACATGGATGCCCACCAATCTCATATCTATAAAATGCAAAACATGTGGATGCATAAAGATCCAAGAGACCATCACAAAAGAAGAAAAGCAAAACTTATTGAACAGAAGTGTTAAGTGT